TCTGAATCTCTGCAGGGAGTTATTAATTGTGTCGAGAAAAAGCTATATAATATCGATTCTTCCTCTTATGTGTCTTCATGGCTTCCCGAAGCCCTCGTTCATCGATCTGGTTTAGTTGGCAGATCACGGCTCGTAGTGAATATTGTCCAAGTAAAATTTCTGCGGTCTTGGCGCTTTTCGTGGACAAGAATTGCTTATACTCTTTGTATTTCAAGGACCACTCTGTGGAGACGTCTCAAAGAAGCTGGCACCGACAGCCGATTTCTCGAAGACTGCAATGTTGAAGTGACAGTTCCAGAGATCAACGTTCCCTTAATAGCCGAAGAAATGCAAACATTAAAAGAAAATGTCAATCCCCTCGACCAAAGTTCAGATTACGGCACAGAACGGCACGTTTCGTAGCCGAACAAATCGAAGAACGGTAGCAAAGTTTAGAAGACTTGCGCTTATTTTGCTCTCCATTTACTCGCCCCATGTAACAAAGCCCGCAAAGGTTTAGTGCTCCAGATTCTAACCCTCTAAATCCTGAGTGAATTTGAATAACCCTTAGTTATTATGAATTCTTCCAAGGTTCTTTGTACTCATGTTGAACGAGATGTTATCCAAAGGCTTAATTGATTATTCAAACTGCTTATGTCGAGTCTTTTCTATGTTCAGTTTGAGCCCGGGCTGGGGTTGGGGGTGGAGGATGGGGAGTGTAGAACTATATCTGGAACTATATCTGTAGTAACGCTTAGAACTGATACAAAAACAGACAACTGATCAAATAGCAAGCACAACTGATCGAAAAAGTCATGCTTACAACTGATTGAAAAACAGACAACTGATCGAATAAGTCACGCTTACAACTGATCGAAAAACAGACAACTGATCGAATATCAAGCACAACTGATCGAAAAAGTCACGCTTACAACTGATTGAAAAACAGACGACTGATCGAATAGCAATCACAGCTGATCAAAAAAGTCACGCTTAGAACTGACCGAAAAACAGACAACTGATCGAATATCAAGCACAACTGACAGAATAAGTCATACTTACAACTGATCGAATAGCAAGCACAGCTGATCGAAAAAGTCACGCTTAGAACTGACCGAAAAACAGACAGCTGATCGAATATCAAGCACAACTGACAGAATAAGTCACACTTACGACTGATTCCAATGTCCAGCACAACTGATGACAAAATCAACGCATTCAAGTAATCGAATGAAAAAAATAACTGATCGAATATAAATCACTACCGATACAAAAATTCAAGCGCACAACTGATTGAATATCAAGTACACTAACAAGAGATCGAATTTAAAAAGAAAGAAATGGATAAAGCGGACACTGAACGGAGGGCTCTTATGCAGTGATTATGTCACTAAACAACACGTATGACAATCGACAGCTAAAAAATAATTTTGAAACAAACGACGCGCCATAGCCCTAGGTAAACCAAGCTCGATTGTTTCAAACAATGTTTGAGAGTTCCTTGCATGGAATTTAGCACTGAGTCGAAATCACGAAATAAAGTTCACGAAACTATATCTGGAGTTGCTTTCTATCACTACGTTGTGTTTCTAGGTTATTTGAGGTTCTGGTCAATTTATTCTTCCGGTCTATTTACAGCTTCTGTATGCATGTACAAATGCATTACAGCCGGATACATTGGCCAATAAATCGCTTAGACTACCAAGAAACATATCGCAGTGATAAAAAGTAGCACCAAATACAATTTCGTGACTGACCTATTTAGAAATTTCCACATCAGGTTTATCGGCAGAAAGACTCAAATCTAAATTCCATACAAACGTTTAATAATTCAGTCCCAAAATTACATCTAATGTGCCCAAAAGCAAGCGTCGTTTCGTCACAATGCCGACCGTTGAGACAGTTGTAAGGCATTCGAACGTTTAATAAAGGATAGATTTGAAGTACCATCAATAAAATAAAGACAATGTACTCGCCTTGGCTGTTTCCCGGTGCCGTT